TTACCAGTTACGAGAGTGTTGATAAGCACAAAATGGAAATGCTTGCATTTTGGCTTAAACAAAAAGATGATGTTGGTTTTTCTTCCATCCAAGGTTTGTCTCCTTTGAGCCTTACACACCAACTCCTCGAAGTTCCCTTCTATCCCAGTCAGCCATCCAGACTCCAAACGTGCAACAAATTGATTAGAACACTCTTCCCTAATAAATCTGCTACTGGAGTCCCGTGATAGGTTGGGGGATATGCTTTATAGAATAACTTCCTCAACTCACAGATAATTAATACTACATAGTATTCATTATCTCTGCTGAGCATACTAATCAACTGACTCATTCGAACCTTGTCTCCTCTGATGAAACATACTGTAGATCTACTGGTCTGTACTGCTGTCAGTCAGACAGGAGTAATTCTTTTAGCAAGAGCTGCTTTCAGAACATCATAGCTCCTCTTCTCAAACTCACCGCAAGACTTGTAGAAGGATCAAGCGGGACCCTCCAGTCTCAATCGAACCTGTATTAACTTTTTATGGTCGTCCCATCTACACCAGACTGCCATTCCTCCAGGCGTTCAACCCCATTTTCTCAAACGAGTCTTCTTCAGCATCCTCCTTCGCTCCTTAGGGCGGCAGCACTGGTAACTGTTGAGCATCATGAATGGGGAAGATATGATTTCAGTAAGTTGCTCGGGTTTCTACATGTAGCTTCGCCTCCAGCTCGCTCTTCTCTTTAAGCCATCGAGCTTCTCTGGCCTCCTACTTCTGTGTCTCTAGTTCAACGGCCTGCAGCCGTTGTATCTCTTTCTCGAGCAGTTCCCTCCGTCAGCATCCTCCTTTGCTCCTAGGGCGGCAGCACTGGTAACTGTTGAGCATCATGAATGGGGAAGATATGATTTCAGTAAGTTGCTCGGGTTTCTACATGTAGCTTCGCCTCCAGCTCGCTCTTCTCTTTAAGCCATCGAACTTCTCTGGCCTCCCACTTCTGTGTCTCTAGTTCAACGGCCTGCAGCCGTTGTAGCTCTTTCTCGAGCAGTTCCCTCCGTAGCTCAGACACTGCTGTTTGGAGCTCCTTCGATCCGCTTTCCACCGCTCTCCTTCCGCCACGACGTCAGATCTTTTTCAGAGATTCACTTTCTTCCGCTGATTCACTTCCAGCTCAACTCTCCGCCAGAAGTTTCAACTGCTGAGCTTTTTCTCTTCTTGGGCAGCTCTCAGCTTCTTCTCCTACATGAAGACTGTCAGTAGTGTAGGAAGGGGGGGCTAGTCGGGCTCAAGCCCCCCCCCCAATATTTTGCAAGGGGGGGCATAGCCCCCTCAATATTTGGGAAGTGCTAAAGCAATTCAAAGTCATCTATGATCACAGGCCACTACTCAAAATCAATGATTCAAGCCTGATGTCTATTTTGATACAGCCCTGACTGGTATCAATGTTGAATCATGTCTGTTGCTCTGGCTGAACCAGGGCCGTGCTCCAGCCTGAGAATATTAGGCTGGAATTTTTTTTGAGCATAATAGAGCCACAATAGCATTAAGAGTAATGCTGGCACAGCAACCTATTTTAATATGTACATGCTCTTTTTTAAAGAGCTATTTGCCTTGGTGACTGTGGAAGAAGTTTATTTTAAGCAACATTTTGGTCCATGAAGTAAAAGTATGATAACTAAAGCGTTTATATTTCTGTTGACAATGAATTATGTATATGCTCATATCAGAAAGGGTGCATATTTTAAGCATTGCTACATTAATTCTTAAAAACATGTATTTTTGAAGAATATTTTTGAGAATAATAGCAATCAATACAAAAGAATAATTCAACAATCATTAGGCATTGAAGCATAGCATAATTACAGAAATTGTGAGCACAATATTCTCAGGCCTATCCAGCATGGTTGTATCATGGATGGTTTTACTTTGAATCATGACTGATATCAGTCAGGATCAGCCTTGATACATTCCTGTATCATGGATTTTGGGCAGCCTGCAAAGCAATGAGTCTAGTATGATACAATTATGTCATGATTGTGATTGTATTATACTAGACTCA